AGGTTACAAATGTCCAGTGGAAGCTTCTGCAGAGCCCAGACAGAATCCAGTGAGTTTCCTTTCTGTCCACATCTGCCAGTGGTGGGGTTTCTAGCCCTTATTTTCACTAAGCAGAGCCTGTTAAGGATTCGGGTTTTATGTAGTTTCTGCTTTGCTCCAAAGCTTGGCTCCTGCTCCTGGGGATCCGTTAAAACTAAGGCTTTGGGTTTCTAGGGTCAGCAAACTCCTCAGGGAAGTGCCAGCTGCCACACCGAAGTCCCGCCACACCGAAGTCCCACTTCATTCTTCACCCCCGGGGATCCCCTTCCCTTTCTTGTGACCTGCGGTATCTGCAAAGGTACTTGTTAGCTTTCACCCGGGAGTTTTTCTGGCTGGAGGGCTTTCCAGACATCTAGGCCTGTCCTGCTGCTGCTACTGCGGAATTGTCGCTGTCAAGGCAGGTGAAGTTGGCGACCCCCTCAAGTCCTACCTGGGGTTGGCGTCTTATCCCCCAGCTGCTGCAGACTTGCGCAGCGCCCTGGGCAGAGGGCCTCTCACTCGCAGCACCTGGGGGCTACCCGCCCCGCCCCAGGGCAGCCCGTGGTCCACGGCTGACTGACGTGGGGAGCCCCAGCCCAGACCCCTGGTCACTGGAGAATGCTGAGGTGAAGTCCACTCTCCTGCGGCCCCGTGCGCTCAGGCTACCCAGCCTTTGCCCAGCAGCTTCGTCTCTCAAACGTGCTTTTCTCACACCCTTTCCTGACAGCACACCCTCCATGAACCAGGTGCACCTGAATCTCCATCTTGGGCTCTGCTTCTGGGGAACTGACCTGATCCAGGTGGCGCCAGGTGTGGTCCCAGGAAGAATCCTCCACAGACAGGCTCATCTCAGGTGTTGGGGGTGGGGGCTGCCGTTAGTCCCGCATTCGCTCAGCACGGCACGTGGTGACGTGTGGCACGCAGGTGGCGGGGAGGGCACTATTACCAGGGAGGTGTGTGGGCCAAACGTTGCGTCCCCAAATCCATATGCTGTCCCCAGGACCTCAGAATGGGACTGTTTTTGGAGATGGGGTCTTTAGAGGTGATTAACGTCACACGTTCACAAGAGGGGGTGGCCCTAATCCAGTCTGACTGGTGCCCTTATATGAAGAGGAGATGAGGACACAGACACACACTGAGGGACGACCACGTGAGGACATGGGGAGGAGACGGCCGTCCACTCACCCAGGAGAGAGGCCACAGGAGCAACCAGCCCTGCTGACAATTTGATCTCAGACTTCTAGCTTTCAGAACTAAGAAGTGAATTTCTGTCATCTGAGCCCCTGTTCTATGGTATGTGTCATGGCAGCCAGAGCACCTGACCACAAGGATGTGTGAAGTTGGCTTGCAGCACACTGTGTTCTGAGGGGAACCCAGGTGGGCGGCTGGCAAGGGGCTTGCTGACCACAGTGGTTCTTCTCCAGCCCAGCATGTGGCAGGCACCTTGATGGCTTCTGAAAACATGGGCTGCTGGACCCCAGCCCCAGAAGCCCTAATTTAATAGGTCTAAGGCGAGGCAAGAACTTGTGCCCTCCAGCTCCCTGGTCCTGGCGCGGCCAGGACCTGGCCACTTTGAAGACTGCTAGTTCACTGCACGGAAGCAAAAGAAATGCTAAAATGGAGGCTAGGGCCGACGCCAGCCGCCGCAGCCGTACCAGCAGAAGAATCGCCTACCGCCTGCCTGAGCCGGCGCTTGGACCCCGAGCCCATGCGCCACAAGGCCTTAGAGCCCCGTGAGAGCACCATGAGCGCAGACAGGGCTTCTCCAAGGCCTTCTCTAGAAGGACCTACAGTCACAAGTCTGCACCCTGGACACCGGGGACAGGGGCACACCTAGGTCAGCGTCTGAGCTGGCACTGGCCCCTGGGGACCCAGAGTGCCAACTCAGATGCCTCTTTGAGTGGGGAATGCCGGGACTTGGCAGCAAATGTGGTCCTGGCCTGTTTCCCCCTACAGAGGATCCAGTGGGTCCACAGAGCCAGCGGGCAGTCACCTCAGAGCCCACCCATATATAATTGGCAGGGACACACCTAACAGCTGGCAGAATCCTCACACTGGTCGTTTGGCTATAGAATGAGAACCTGTAGTGCGTAAGACCACACAGAAGTGTGGCAGACGCCTCCCCTCTCCAGCCAGTAAAACGAGTAAAACACTGCATCCCGCTGAAAGGGCTGGATTACAACACTTCAGCCACTGAGGAAGGCAAGGGTGATGGCCTCATCTTCCCTTTAGTTCACAGGTCAGGTCCCTGCAGGAACTGCACGAAACCTTTCTAGAACAGATTAGCACGGCCTCTGATCATTGGCAAAGGTTTTCTTTTCCTCGTTGGTGGAGGTCAGGAGTGGTGTGCGCCTGCGTCAGGAGGGCAACTTACACCTTCACACTTTGCTCTGGGCTGTGTCAGGCCCCCTGCGCAGTCAGAGTCTGAGCAAAGCACAGAACGCACACTGCCCACTTACCGACAAGGGCACAGTCATCAGGCCCCACCAGGAGGAGGTGGCAAGCATTCTGCCTGTGCTGGTCAGACACGTGGATGCACGCACTCTGGAGCGCGGGCCACACGCCGAGCCAAGGTTCAGGGACTGGTCCCTCTGGGTCTGGGCACTGTAGGACACCCTCTCCACCACAAAGGACAAGTCTGGAGCGCTGCGTTCCCTGCTGCAGAAGGAAGCACTGCGCCTGGCGGCCCCTCTGACCCAGACGGAGTGTGTCACGCTCTAGGGGATGCGACTGGCCTCAGTCCCTTTACTGGACGACAGGGAGGCTTCCAGGCCCAAGTGGGGCTTGGAAAGAGACATAGCACAGCGGCCGGTGAGGCTGCAGTGCAGAGTGTCCTGCTACTGTGGACACACGCCCCACGGATCCGTGCACCGGACGGGCCTGTGGCAGGGGTAAGAACGTGACGTGGGGCCCCTGGCCAGGCCCACGCGGGAGCTGCAGCACAGACGCCAGCTGAGGTGAGGATGGAGCACATGCAGACTCAAGACAAGGTCCTGGCGTGCTCCTGACACTCAGACCCACCCAGCCCTGAGGTCACTAGGCTCAGTGAGGGTCCAAGGTGAGGGGGAGCAGACGCCTGCGCTCAGGCTCACGGGCTACACGAGCAGGTGGCCCACACACCAACATCACTAGTGCTGCAGCACGGCCTTGCAGAGGGTCCCCTTGACAAGGAGATGGAGGAGAACGACGTCTGGGCCTGAGGGCGGGCCTGGGGTGTCAGCTGCACAGACACGGCTCCACTCAGGGCTGCCCAGACGGCAGAGGGAGACCCCTGGCCAGAGCTTCCGCAGCACCCTGGGTCATCCCCCCTGTACAGAGCAGGAGCAGCCAAGAGGCACGGTCCAGCTGGCTGCTCAGGGCCTAAGAGGCGCAGACTCTCAGGAAGACTGGGGGGAAGTCGGTGCTGGGTGGGCAGGGGGAGTGGGGGCTTGTATCATGTGCCCATGTTCACCGGGAAAACCATGCAGAGGAGGTGCTGAGCCACCCCTGGACCACATGACTTGGTCAGTGGACCCTGGCCACCCCATGCTCACATGACCGGGGTAGCCCTGCACAGAGATGGGGCCAAGCACGTGCTGACAACACGGCCCCCATCCCAGGCTGGCCGAGCTCCTCTCACTGGTGCACGTCAGTCTCCCAGCAAGAGAGACCCCAGAGGCGAGACCAACCAGCAACTCGGAGGGAAATCCATCACTTTAGCTCAGCTGTCTGCAAGTCTCCATCTACATACGGGTTCCTGCAAAACATCCCCTGGGAACTTGGACTGCTCCCTCCTGGCAAGGGGGTGCAGCAGGGGTCCAGGACCACAGCACACCGCAGCCTACAGAAACTGCTGGCCTGGCAGAATGTTGGAGAGCCTCGTAAGGAAGCAGATGACACCGTGTCCTTCTGGATGTGGGCGTGACCTTGAGTCAGTGACCCCAGGAGGTGGACCAAGGGTCTGGAAACCACAGAGTAGAAGCAGATGTGGCTCACTCACCGCAATCCCTGGGACCCTCCGGGGAATGGGTGCTTTCTGTCCCTGCGACGTCAAGCTGTGAGAACCGCACGGTCTTGGTCACAGAGGAAAACGCTGCCATCTGGGGCACCAGGGGAGTGTCCTACCCAACTCACAGCCACAGCCGCTACCTGGTCATGTCGGTGCCACGTTGCAGTAGACCAGCAGCCCAAGCGGTCACCACCCGAGCAGGGATGACCCTGATCGTCATGTGGAGGCGGAGCTCCTGCCCTGGGACATCTCAGCACTTCCACGCCGTTTTACTGCAAGTGGGCAAGAGGGCAGAGTCTGACAAGGACTTGGAAACCAGGACTCAGACCTCCGGGAATGAGACCACCTTACTGGGGCAGAACAGGGAGACATACTCCAGGCAGGGCCTTATGGCCTTGGGACCAGAGGCTCAGCGCAGGGCAGTTTGCCTCACTCACTTCTTGAAAAATTTCCCAGAAAGGATCCTGGAGAAGCTGGAATAAATTAGACTGAAGGAGCAGGGGCCCGGAGCAGGAGAGGCAGGCTGCAGCAGACATGCTAACGCCTCGGCCGCCGGCCTCCGCTCAGGCTCCCGGCTGCACCCTTCTCTGGAGGGCAACCCTTGGTTGCCACGGACCAACTTACCCAGGAAGCCACACTGCTCGCTCCACACGGCTGGGGCGAGGCACAGCCAGTGACCGACTGATGGGCATGTAAGTCCCCCTCCTTCAACGTAAGTGCCAACCACAAACCCAGACTGCGGGGCTGTGCAGAGTGACAGGTGATCACCTGGACTTAGCAGGGGCTGGGGGATGTCCAGGAGCAGCCCCCCACTGCCCTCTGCCCTGGGTCGCTCAGTCTGGGCTGCTCTGGCCTGAGACGTGTGGCCTCTGGCCATGCTCTCCTGACCCTGGCCGGGACACAGTGGCCCAGCTCAGAGCCTGGGGTGGCAGCAGCAACCCTGCCCCAACACATGCCTGACCTCAGGGCAAAAAACCGAGGCAGGACCCACAGGGAGGTTGGAATTGCTTTTATTGGGGTGGGCGCCGCAGGCCCACCATGGTCAGGTTAGTGTTCTGCCCTCACAGAGGCAGACGGAAGCCTGGCACCTCCACCACCACCTGCCGGGGTTAGTGGGACATGCAAAGCTCAGTCAGAGGTAGGGGCGGGTGGACACCACCAGGGCCAGGGGCTGGGTGGGGCAGGAGGAGCAGCCCCGGGCTCGGCTGCCCTGGTCAGCACAGACGGCCCAGGCGGCAGCCCTGGGCCCAGCAAAGGGGAGGAGGAGTTCTGGGAGAGACAGGCAGCACTCCAGGGTGGGGGTCCACAGGCTCCAGGGGACACAGGCCCACGGGGGAGAAAAGGCCTGCAGAAGCCCCGCTACACCCAGCCCAGACGCCCAGGGGCGGGGACAGCAGTGAGCTTTCACCAGGAGGGTCTGTCTCCCACCCCAGGTCTGGGTCCTTGGGGCCTGGGTGCCAAGGGGGACACAGAAGGCACTTACTAGGGGGCTGAGGCTGGAAGGCTAAAGCCAAAGGCCTGGGGTCTGGGGAGAGAGTGTAGGTGGCTGGGGGCTGGGAATGGAGCCCGAAGTCCTACAGGAGCTGGGAACAGGCTGGTGCCTGGCTCGGGTCAGCTGGTTCTGCAGACCGGACCCTCACCTTCCCGTGGGGAAGGGGCTTCTCTGGGCAGGCCAGAAGAGATGGCTGACCCAAGATTCCTTCTCTCCCCAGCAAGGCCCACTGAGAGAGCAGGTCAGTCCTGGAAACAGGAGAAAACGCTGGCCCTGAGAGCCCTGCCACTAGCAAGGCCTGGAGCAGGTAGGACTGGTGGCTGGATGTCGGGAGGCTGGTCTCTGGGGCTGGGGGAACCTCGCCCAGACAGAAGCCCCCTGGGGAAATGGGAGGGCTGAGCTGGAGACCCAGCTCTGCACCCTCCAAGGCACCTGGCTGTGGTGAGTGGCAGGTAAAGAGGAGCAGAGAGACCTGGAGGGTATGGGGTGAGGTGGTCAGTGGGGCTGGACCTGGACTGGCCCCATCCAAGAGAGAGGCTGTCGGGACAGCAGGTATACATTAATATGTTAGTCTGGTCTTTTTGGTTAAACTCTAGGCACCGCTTGGGAGGAAGACATCTTTAAACACTTAAGAAAGACCCCAGCGCCTGGGCGGGAAGCCTGGCCACATGCAAAGCGGGAGGCGGGGTACAGGCAGGGGTCAGGCCACCGCAGACGTGGGGCCCCCCAGGGAGGGCGTGGGCCCTGGGGCGTAGCGGCGGCCGTAGCCCGAGGAGGAGTAGGACGAGGACGAGAAGGTCATGGAGAAGCCGGAGCCGGTGGCATCGAAGCTGCCGCGGCGGGAGCCGGCCCGGGAGCCAGAGCGTGAGCCGGAGCGTGAGCCGGCCGTGGAGCCAGAGCCACTGACGCTGTAGGGGCTGTAGTAGCCCTTGCTGGACTGGGCGGCGGCCTCCAGCAGCCGCAGGCCCGTGCCCTCCTCCACCATGCTGCGGTCCAGCGCGTCCTTGTAGGAGATCTTGAGCTTGGTCTTGGGGCAGGTGAGGTACTTGGAGTATGCGCTGACGTCGCGCAGCTTCTGGGCGGTGCGGGCGTCCACGGTGCCGCGCTGCAGGGCCTCCTCCAGGGGCACGCGGCCCGGCGCATCAGGCTCGATGAGGCCGCCCGTCAGGTACTGCACCTCCAGGAAGCGCTGCCCCGCCTCGTAGTAGAGCCAGCCCTTCTTCAGGGCCTGGGCGGCCGACATCTTGGTCTTGGTGCGCGGGTCCTCAAAGCCGCAGAAGGCCTTCTGGGCCAAGTTGATGCGGTCCACCATGATCTTGTCCACTAGGCCCTTGTTGACGGCATCGGTGACGGGGAAGCGCTCGCCGGTGCTGGGGTCGATGATGCCTCCGGTGCAGGCCTGTGCCTCCAGCAGCCGCTGCCCAGTGATGTTGTCCACCAGGTTGCGGTGCATGGCCTCCGTGATGGACACCTTCTCCAGCGTCTCTGTGTCCAGGATGCCGGCCACGGGGCCTGTCTCCTCAGTGGGATCAGACCAGGAGGCCAGCTGGGGCCTGGAGACGGCGGGGCTGATGGGGTAGGAGGAGGAGGATCCCACGGAGGACGAGCGGGACCGGAAGCCGCCGGCATTGCCCGAGAGCATGTCCGCGAACTCGGTGATAGAGAGTGTGCCAGCACGGTACTGGTCCAGCGCTGAGCGGTCAATGAGGCTCTTGGCGATGGCCTCGTCGATGTCGTACTGGCGGCCCGAGCGGCGGTCGATGATCATCGACTTGACCACGCCATCCGAGGAGGAGATGGTGATCTCCTCCCACTCGCACTCCTGCTCGGACAGCTCCAGGTAGGTCTGGTGGTCAATGAGGCCCTTGCGGTAGGCCTCGTACACCGACATCTCCTTGCCCGTCTCCGGGTCCACGATGACCACACGCCGCTTGCGCACCGAGGACTTGGAAGACGTCTTCCGCTCCCGCTTCTTCTCCTTCAGCGGCAGGAGCCGCAGCCCCGTCTGGGGGTCGGTGACGCAGCGCTCTATCAGCTGCAGATAGGTGAGGTTCTCCTCTGTGTTGGGGTCAAAGAAGCCCTTGGTGTCGTCTGAGGGGTCGGCCAGGATCTCATTCATCTCCTCGTCAAAGAGGCCACGCTGGTAAGCCACGTCCACAGGCAGACGGTGGCTCTCCTCAGGGTCAATGATTCCACCTGTGGCGATCTGGGCCTCGAGCAGGCGGATGCCATGGTCCTTCAGAATCAGGCCCTTCTTCATGGCCTGGAAGAGTGAGATGAGCTTCCCGGAGTAGGGGTCCTTGTAGCCAGTGACAGCGCGCTCGGCCGACAGCAGCTTGTCTTTGAACTCAGGGCCCACGATGCCCATGCGCACAGCCTCCTCCACAGTCAGCTTGAGCCCCTTGATGGGGTCGATGACGTAGCCGGTGGCTGCCTGCGCCTCCAGGAGCTCGAAGGCTGTGCCCGGGCGGATGATGCCCTTTTTCATGGCTTGGTACACAGACAGGCGCTCCTTGGTGGCGTCAACGAGCACGCCAGCGATGCTGCTGGTGCCCTCGAGGAACTTCTGCAGGTTCTTGGAGACCTCCTCGATGGAGGTCAGGCCCTCCTGCAGCCGCAGCGCCGTGGCCTCGTCCATGACATGTGAGCGCACCAGCTCCTCCACTGTGATCTGCTTGCGCAGGCCGCGGAAGGTCAGCTTGCGGGCGTCTGAGAGCGGCAGGAGAAGCAGGCCGCTGCCCTCATCGCGGCGGCACCGCCGGAGCAGCTGCGTGTAGCTGAGGCGCTCATCCGTGGAGGGGTCCAGGTAGCTGCGCACCTCGCTGGGCTCCGACAGCTGGTCGTACGTGTCCTTGTTGAGGTAGCCGCGCTGGTAGGCCACCTCCAGCGGGAGGTGGAAGCCCAGGCGCGGGTCCACGATGCCGCCGGTGGCCAGCTGAGCATCCAGCAGCCGCAAGGCCTCCTCGGCGGGGATCAGGTCCTTCTTCATGGCCTGGAAGAGCGAGATGGTTTGCTCTGTGTAGGGGTCACGGTAGCCGGTCACAGCCCGCTCGGCCGACAGCAGCCGGTCGTGCAGCTCGGGGCCCACCAGGCCCTTTCGCACGGCCTCATCCACGGTCAGCCGGTCGCCCTTCACTGGATCCAGGAGGAAGCCTGTGGCCGCCTGAGCCTCCAGCAGCAGGCGGGCTACCTCGGCACTCAGCAGCCCCTTCTTGAGGGCCTGGTAGACGGTCAGGGTCTGCCTGGAGCCAGGCAGGTAGACGCCGGCCACACAACCCGTGCCGTAGAGGTAGCGCCAGGCAGACTCAGCCTCGAGCACCTCACGGAGGCTCCTGGTGCCCTCCCGGAGCAGGCTGTAGGACTCGCGGGAGATGAGCCGGGCCTCATACAGGTCCTCGGCGGTGAGGCGGCGGCGGACGTAGTCGTAGGAAGCCAGGTGCTGCTGGCGGACAATCTCGGTTTTCTCGATGATCTCGATGATGATGATGATCATGCGCTCCTTGGTCATGCGGCCGGCCTGGAAGTCAGCCATCAGCTGGGCCCGCTGCTCCTCGGGGATCAGGTCCGACTGCATCACCTCCCACAGGGACATGGTGGAGCCCCCGTGGCTGCCGCCCCCGGGGATGTCGATCTGTGTCTCCTCGAAGGCCCTCCGGGTCTCCTCCTCAGTGTACACCCGCGTGGTCTCCACTATCTCTGCCTTCTCCGCCCCTTTCAGTGGCAGGAGCCGCAGGCCTGTCTCAGGGTCCTCTACGCAGCGCTCCAGCAGCTGCTTGTATGTGAGGTTCTCGTGCGTGTTGGGGTCATAGAAGCCCTTGGTGTCATCGCTGGGGTCCTCCAGGATGCGGCTCATCTCCTCATCGAAGTAGCCGCGCTGGAAGGCCACATCCACGGGCAGGCGGTGGCTGTGCACCGGGTCGATGATGCCGCCTGTAGCGATCTGGGCCTCTAGTAGTCGGATACCGTGCTCCCTGAGTACCAGGCCCTTTTTCATGGCCTGGAACAGGGAGATCTGCTCCCCGGTGTAGGGGTCCTTGTAACCCGTCACAGCCTTCTCAGCTGACAGCAGTTTCTCATGCAGCTCAGGGCCCACCACGCCAGCCTTCACAGCCTCGTGGACATACAAGCGCTGGTTCCGCACAGGGTCCACCAGAAAGCCAGTGGCTGCCTGGGCCTCGAGCAGGAGAGTGGCCGTGCTGGGCCTGAGCAGGCCGCGCCGCATGGCCTCATAGATGGTCACCTTTTCCTTGGAGTCCTCCAGGTAGATGCCAGCGAGGCAGCCACTGCCCTGGAGGAGTGTCCGCACGGAGTCCACCTCCGACAGGTCCTTGACTGATGTTTTGCCATCCTTGAGCTGCTCAAACTGGTCCCTGCTGAGGACCCTGGCAGACAGGAGCTCACTGGCCAGCACCGGGGCGCGGAGGCCACTGAAAGAGAGCCTCTCCCGCCGCACAGTCTCCACCTCCTCTACGATGGTGATGAGGATCTTGATGATCTTCTCCACGGTGACCTTGCCCGTGCGGAACTGCCGCAGCAGCTCCTGCCGCTGCTCCGCAGAGAAGTACTCAGAGCTGATGAGCTCCCACACTGTCACCGTCCTGCCTTGGAAGCTGCCCACGGGGACATCAACAGTGGCCTTCTGGAAGGCCTCACGGGCCTGGAGTTCGGAGTAGAGCTCCTGCTGCCGGGCCCTGGCAGCCTCCTCCGAGAGTGGCAGCAGGCTCAGCCCCGTCAGCTGGTCGGGGCGGCACCGCTGCTGGAGCTGGCCGTAGGTGACCGTCTCCTGGGCACTGGGGTCGAAGTAGGTCTTGGCATCGCCCTCGGGTGCGGAAAGGGCTGTGTGGGTCTCCTCATCCAGGTAGCCCCGGGCATAGGCGACATCCAGGGGTACTCGGTGGCTCTTGCTGGGATCCACGATGCCACCAGTGGACAGCTGGGCGTCCAGCAGACGCAGGCCCTGCTCCCTGGGAATGAGGCCCTTCTTCAGGGCCTGAAACAGGGACACACTCTGCCCCGAGTACGGGTCCTTGTAGCCCGTCACGGCCCTCTCAGCCAACAGCAGCTTCTCGTGCAGCTCGGGCCCCACCAGGCCGGCACGCACTGCCTCCGCCACAGTCAGCCGGGCGCTCGTGGTGGGGTCCACGATGTGCCCAGTGCCGGCCTGCGCCTCCAGTAGGGCCACAGCCGCCTCTGCCGGCAGGAGGTCTTTCCTCAGGGCCTCGTAGATGCTCAGCTTCTGCCCCGCCTCCTCCAGCCACACTCCCGCAATAACGCTGGAGCCCCGCAGGGCCCGCCGCACTGCATCCACCTCGGCTACTTCCTGCACTGAGCGCTTGCCCTGCTGCAGCTGGCAGTAGAGGTCATGGTCAATCACCCGGCTCTCGAGCAGCTCAGCAGCGGGGACCAGGGCGCGCAGGCCCTGGAAGCAGAGCTGGCCCCTCTGCTCGTGCTCCTCGACCACCGTGATAACGATCTTGATGATCTTCTCCACCGTGACCTTGCCTGTGCGGAACTGCCGCAGCAGGTCCCGCCGCTGCTCCGCCGTGAAGTACTCAGAGTTGATGAGCTCCCAGATGGTCACCGTTCTGCCCTGGAACTTGCCAAATGGTGCAGACACAGTGGCTTTCTTGAACACGTCCCGGGCCTCCGAGTCAGTGTAGACCAGCTCACCACCCTTGGCAGCCTGATCTGTGAGTGGCAGGAGCCGCAGGCCGGTCTCAGGGTCCTCCACGCAGCGCTCCAGCAGCTGCTTGTAGGTGAGGTTCTCATGCGTGTTGGGGTCGAAGAAGCCCTTGGTGTCGTCGCTGGGGTCCTCCAGGACGCGGCTCATCTCCTCGTCGAAGTAACCACGCTGGAAGGCCACGTCCACGGGCACGCGGTGGCTGTGCACCGGGTCGATGATGCCGCCCGTGGCGATCTGGGCCTCCAGCAGGCGGATGCCATGCTCCCTGACGATCAGGTCCTTCTTCATGGCCTGGAACAGGGAGATCTGCTCCCCAGTGTAGGGGTCCTTGTAGCCAGTGACAGCACGCTCAGCCGACAGCAACTTGTGATGCAGCTCAGGGCCCACGACGCCCTCCTTCACGGCCTCGTTGACGGTCAGCTGCCTGTTCCGCACAGGGTCCAGGAGGAAGCCTGAAGCCGCCTGGGCCTCAAGCAGGATGAGGGCTGTGCCTGGGCTCAGCAGCTGCCTCCGCAGGGCCGCGTAGACACTCAGCTTCTCGTTGGAAGGCTGCAGCAGCAACCCCGCGATGCTGCTGCGGCCCTGCAGGTAACAGCGCACGTCCTCCCGCTGCTCGAGCTCAGCCACAGTGGTGCGGCCCTGCACCAGGCGCTGCAGCTCCTCTGCACTCAGAATACCCACCTCCTGCAGCTGCTGGGCCGGCACCTTCTGCCGCAGGCCATCGAAGGCGTGCTCGGGCTCTGTCTCTGTGGCTGGGCCATCCAGTGCATCTCGGCCATTGGGCAGGGCCTTTGTGGCCGTGGCCTGCGAGGCAGGCACCTCTTCCGAGTGTGCCAGCGCTGCCCGGTGCTCCTCCTCCAGGTGCTGCAGCCGCTCACGCAGCCTCTGGTTCTCCTCGGCCAGCAGCTTCTCCTGCTGCTGCCGCTGCTCCTCCAGGCGCTGCAGTTCCTCCTGCTTGCGCCGCACGCCCTCCTCCGCCTCGCGCTGCTGCCGCCGGGCCTCCTCCATGCTGGCGACCAGCTGCTGCTTCTCCTGCTCCATCTGCTGCTGCTGCCGCTGCTGCTCCTCACGTAGCTTCTGCGCCTTGGCCACCTCCTCCTGGAAGAGCTGCTCCAGCTTGGCCTTCTCTTGCTCAATGAAGCGTTCGCGCTGCAGCAGGCTGTCCTTCTCGGAGAGGAAGCTCTGCCGTAGGGCCTGCGTCTCCTGCAGCAGCTGCTCCTGCTGCACTGTCTGCATCTGTCAAGGAGGAAGAGGGTGGTCAGAGAGGTCAGGGGCCTGGGAGAACCCGCCTCCCGCCTGAGCAGACCCTGCCCGCAGGTGGGGAGGTACCTCCTCGGACTTGAGCTGCAGCAGCTCAGCCTCCTGCTTGAGCTTGTCCTTCTCGCGTTCCAGCTCTGCAATGGCCTCCCGCAGGCGCTCGGCATCCTGGTCGCTCTGCTGTCGCTGGGTCTCAAGCGTCTGCACCAACGTCACCTTCTCCTGCGTGGCGAGCTCTGTGCGGTATAACCTCTCACCGATCTCCTCGGCCTGCTTCCGGAAGCGCTGAGCATCCCCCTCGGCTCGAGCCTGGGCCCGGCTCATCTCGGCCACGCGCAGCCTGAGCCGTTCAGCCTCGGCACTCATCTCCAGCTGCCGCTGCCGCTCCGTCTCCAGGGTCCGCTGGAAGCCCTGTGTCTCCTGTGCCAGCTGCTGTGCCATCTGCTCTTTATCCTCCTGCAGCCGCCGGGCCTGCTCCTGGGCGAGCTCCTTCTGCTGCTGCAGCAGCTCTGCCTCCGCCTTCAGCTGGGTGGCCTCCTGCACTGCCTGCATCTTCTCCTTGAGCATCTTCTCCGCCAGAGCCCGCTGCTGCGCCAGGTCCTCCTCCGCCAGCTGCCGCAGCCGCGCCGCCTCCTGGGCCGCCACTGTCAGCCGCGCGGCCTCTTCTGCCACCTGCTTCATCTTTTCGGCCTCTTCCTGAAGCAGGCGCTGCGTGTTGTCCTTGTCGCGCAGGACGAGCGCGCGGTTCTCCGCCTCGATGCGGGCCTTGAGCTTGCCCAGCTCCTCCATCTGCACGCGCACGGAGAACAGCTCCTCTTCCACCTGGCTGCGCTGGCGAGCCGCCTCCGTCACCTCCGCCTTCAGCCGCTGCAGCTCCTCGTCCAGGATGTTTTTCTGGTGGTCGGTCTCCTCCAGCTGCAGCCGCAGCGCCGTCAGCTCCTGCTCCACCTGCGCCTTCTGCCGAAGCGTCTGCTCGGCGAACTTCTTGTGCTTCTCCATCTCAGCGTCAGCCACCTGCTTTTGCCGCAGGGCCGCCTGCTCTGCTTGGGCCCGCCGCGCCGCCTCCTGCTCGGCTTCCTTGCGCAGCTTCT